TTCTTTCTGATTATTTTTTATAGTTCCATCTTACCTTATTTGTTGCCTTATTGGCTCTCACACTTCCTCTTGTTATTTTAGTGGTTGCTTTAGGGTTTATAGTGTATCTTTAACTTATCATAGTCTACCTTCAAGTGTCTACCTCACATATAAGAACCTAACAATGGTATACCTTCCCTTTTTCCCCTATGACTTTTATTCTATTGTTCTCATGCATTTTACTTTTACATGTTATAAACTCCACAATATACTGTTTTTATTTAAACAATTATAAAGAGATTTAAATAAGAACTAAATCTTATATAATTATCCATGTAGTCACCATTCTGTTACTTTGCTTTGTATAGATTCAGATTTCCATCTGTAATCATTTTTCTCCTGCCTGAAAAACTTCCTTTAGCATTTTCTTATAACTTTGGTCTGCTAGCAATAAACGCTTTTACTTTTTTAATGTCTGAAAAAGGCTTTATTTTGAGTTTCTTTTTGAAAGATACTTCTGTTGGATATAGGCTGATAATTATTTTTCCCTTCAGTACCTTAAAGGTGTGCTCCACTGCCTTCTCCTTTGCATCGTTTGCAGTGAGAAATCTGATGTCACTCTTATCTTTGTTTCTGTGTAACATCTTTTCTCTGTTTTTAAGATTTCCTTTTTGTATTACTCAGCATTCTCCAGAGAAACAGAACCAATAGGATGTGTGTGTATACATAGAAAAATGTTTCAAGGAATTGATTCATAATACTATGGAGGCTGGCAAGTCCAAAATCTGCAGGGTAGGTCAGTAGACTGGAGACCCAGGAAAGAGCCAATGCTCCAGTTCAAGTCCCAAGGCCACCCAGTGCAGATTTCCTTCTTGCTCTGGGGAAGTCAGTCTTTTGTTCTATTCAATCCTTCAGCTGGTTAGATGAGGCCCCACCACATTATATAAAGAAATTTACTCAAAGGCTGCTGATTTATATCTTAATCTCATAGAAAAACGCACTCACAGAAATATTCAGAACAATGTTTGACGACATTTCTGAGAACTGTGGCCCAGCCAAGTTGACACCTCTCATGGTTCATGTTAGTTTCTACCCCAATGCTCTACTGAAACTGGTCTACCATTGGTCATTAATGGTCACCACATCCATTGCCTCCTCTCAGATTTTAGACTTCGGTTTATATTATTTAATTCTGGTTCCTTTGATCTATTGTTCACATTTGACATATATGATACTATACAGAACTGCCTGGTTTAGATTCCCTGTTTAATGCAGATGCTAGAATGTAAGCTCCAAAGGGCAAGGATATTTGTCTAGTTTGTTCAGTGACGCACCCTTAGGGCCTAAATCAGTGGCAATCATGTAACAGGCATTCAATAAATGCAGAAAGAATGAATGAAATATAGTTGGTGCTTAGCACATTTCTCCTCCCTCTCTGCTCATCATCCCTCAACAATCTCATGCAAATCAACAGTTCAGTTGTATCTCAAATCTAGATCTCTTGCTATAAGCTCTCTTTAGTCAGCCTGTCTTTTGGCATTTGGATCACTGTTGAAAGTCCTGCCAACACCTCAAATTAGCATGTCCAAAGCTAAGCTCATTATCTTGTATCTTAAAACTGTCTGTCACCTTCTTCCCACTTTTTATATTTCACTCAGTCACCAGCTAGAAGTCATACTTGATTCTTTTCCTTTCCTCTCTATTTCCCAATGTCTTTGCCAATTTTATAGGATGAATGACATCTGCCTCTAACTCTCCATTCCTCACAGCCCCTGATGGATCACCTCTCCATGCTACAGGTCTCTCTCAGTAGCTTCTCTAGTCTCTAGCTTTGGGTCACAACTCATGCTATACCGCCACATCTTGGGCCTCAACCCAGTAAGATCACGAACTGTTCTCCAAATGCACCCTATGCTTTCTATCCTTACTCTCCTCACCCCGTTCCTTAGATTCTCCCCATCATATGAGGCCCTATTTGAATGAGGCCTTCTTTGATCCCACAGATTAGAAACGATCACTCTTTTAACTTTCATATTTATACCATCAAGTATAGCACTTATTCTGTCTTAGCTCCTGGCATATATTAAACATTCAATAAATTTAAACTGTTTATCATTGTAATCCTACCCCAGGTATAAACTTCTTGATAGCCGAGACCTCCAAACAGGTCTCCAAAAAGGCACTGCGCCTGGTTCAGGACAATGACAACTCACAGAAGCTTGATATCCAAAATGTCAGCCAACTTACTAATTCATCAGAAAATCAATTAGCACACAACGTTACAACGGGTTCCAGTAAGAGGAAAACATATTATTTAAAAATTGAATAAAAGCAAATATAGAACATAATGCATTGCAATTTACAAATAATAAACTATAAAATTATTTACAGATCATTTTGTACATTGTAATTCAAAACTGTGCTTCTAGCAATAGTGCTTCTCATTTATACCTCTGATAAGTGAAGAACGGTATACTTGTATTACTCATACGTATTTTGAAGGAAGTTATTTTGCTTTAAAAGAATTGTTAAGTTAATAAAGTCTGCATATTACGTAACACATTCCTCAGAAGACGTCCACAGCTTTACAGACAACTAGCAAATAATACTCTCATCAGAAATTCTAAGGCTTGGGTACCACTAACCTTCATTTGAAGACCTGCACCGGCATCCTACCTCTGTCATTAGCTGTGTGAAAACAGCCATATCACCATACCTTTGAGCCTCAGATGATTTAAAGACAGAATATGGAAAAAGAATCTTACCTGTCATAAAAAGCAGTTATGAGGTTCAGAGAGGTACGATATTTTATGTAAAAACATATGGATTCAATTTACTGTTGCAGGCTTATTCACTCAACAAGCATCTTAGCTATGTCCAAACTGTGTGCCAGGATCTGGATGCACAAGCTAAATAAGATGCTCTATCTGCCCCTTAGCCTGGGGAGACAAATGTGTCAACAGCAGTGTTTCAGGCACTACATGGTAGAGAGATAAACACTTCACAGTGGGAGAGCAGGGAGTTCTCAGTTCCATGTGGGGGAAAGGAAGGTAGTTAGAAATGGCTTCCTGCAACAGGCCACACTTGAGCTCTGTTCATCCTCCCTGTGGCCTCACCAGTCATCATGAACCCCTCAAGCTTTTCCTCATCCTTTAATCAAGCTATGTCTCTGTTTCTTCACAGGTCCACAGTTTCTTATCTACAATTCTAAACTCTGAAAAGCTTTCAAAGCCTGCACTCTTCCCCTAGCTTATTTGGTGGCAAAACCTGGCCTGAAATGAGGTAAGGCTCTTGGTCATCAATATTTTTCCTACTTAGAGGAAATCCTAGTCAACGGTTCCATCATATACCCTTCACCTAAGCCAGGACCTGAGTCACCCTTGGCTTCTCTCTCCCCCTCATCCTCCAAACCCAACTGACCAGCAAGCTCTGTCAATACTAGACCTGCAATAAGTATCCTATCTATTCCCTCCCTCCTCCCTCCCCCTCTATTCTCCCTCCCTCCCCCTACCCCCTCCTCCCCCATCCTCCCGCCCCTCCCCCTCCCCCCCTCCCTCCCATCACTGTCTTAGTTAATGGCTAATGGAGCTTTCCACAGTTCAGCCTCAGCATCATGGCTAGCGTGATCTTTCTCAAATGGATATTTTATCACACAGTTTCTCTTTGCTTAAAATATGTGCAGACGTCTCTGTGCTATCTACAAAGTTCAAATTCCTGAGTGTGGTATAAAAGGTTTGCCAAGATTTGGCCACTGCCTATCTCCTGTGACTCAACTCGTGGCATTCTACTAACCATGTGTCGCAGCCACTCGGAAATGTGGTTCCCAGGAGGTAGCAACCTGTTTCAGGCCCCTCTGCCTTCACACAGCTTCCCCTCTGTCCCCAAATCTTCGTTCTTCTCCCACCTCACTCTCTTATTCCTGCTTGTCTGCCAGGCTTGCTTGTCCTCAAGATCCAATGTAGAAAACTCCATCATGTATCATCCTCCCCTTCCCCCAGTCCGAGCAAAACTGATTGCTTCTCCACCTTTGTGTATTTCTGGACACAAGCTTAATGTCTGTGTGGCCCATGGCCTGAGTCTCCTGGAGTGCTGGGATCACTGCTTATCCCCAGTTTCTAACACTGGACCTAGCACATGGTAGGTGTTCAAAAAAGAAAGCTGTCTGAATGAACAATCGTTCTAAGTTTCCCCGACAATGTGCCAGCCCACTCCTTCCCTGTCAGTTCTCCCACAGCAGCTCTGGTTTTCACCTCCCATAATTTTCTCTAGTTAACACTTGTCTTTCCCGCTTCATTTTCAGAGGAAGAAGAGGACACTTTTGGCGAGTGAGAAAAGTTCTTGGTAGCACTTTGATACTTTGGGGCAGATAATTCCTTATGGAGGGTGCCCGTCCTGTGCACTGTAGGATGTTTAGCAGCATCCCTGGCCTCTACTCAAAAGAAGTCAGTAGCACCCTCCCCAAGCTGTAAGAACCAAAATGTCTCCAGACATTGCCAGATGTCCCCTGGAGAGCAAAATCTGCCCTGATTGAGAACCACTGCCTAGACTGACTTTTCATGGCCACCTCAGGGAACAACATGGCAAACCTGAGCAACGGTCCCTGTGCCCACCATCTTCCAGGCAAGAAGATTCAGACTATCACTTGTACCGTGTAGGGCGTGTGTGACCAACACGAGTAGGCTAGAGTGACACTTCAAGGGAGGAGGACGCTCAGTGGGCCTGAGCTGAACCCATCTGTCACAGTACTAGAATTCCAGGTTGCAAGGTTAGTTTCTATCAACATTCTCCTGGCTTGATTTATTCAGTGGCACTGAAATGACCAACTAGAGGGATGAAGGGTGCAGCAATTTGATGCTATTAAAGCCCCCCTTAAATATAGTTTGAAAAATAGAGCATCTAAAAATAAATAATAAACTGACTGAAGCATTTCAGTGAAATGAGGGGACCCCACCAACAGCATAGGAAACGAGAGCATCCCAGGGGTGAGGAAGAAAAGGGCGAGAAGCCGGCACTGTACCCACCTGTGGTCGACACCACGCTGTTGGGGCTTTCACTGCAGAGCTTGGACAGCAGGCTGGTCTTGCCAGAGCCCGTGAGGCCTATGCAGACCAGGTCATACTCTGGGCGTGCAGGTGGTGGTCCCTTGCAGCAGAGTGCTCTAAAACACTGCCGAGAGAGGGGAAATGCAGCTCTTTTAAGCATGACTGTAGGCACAAAGCTTAGTCACATTTCAAATGACTATGTACTGAGAGGTAATTAAATAACCTATTGACCCTAAGGAGGAAAGGGACCTTTAGAGTGAGAGACCAGGAGGTCACCGCCTTGACTAAGCAATCCAAGTTAACTTCCTAGGAATGAGACCCACTCGGACTTGCCGGCTCCCCTCCTGCTGAGACGGGGGCACCGCGAGGGGTGCCACGTCATTATGCAGCTTTTCTGCCAAAAATGCACCACCTGCATCCAAGCACAAGGAAATCAGACGACACTGCCGCGAGGAGCATTCTGCAGGACAAGCAGCCTGCTCTTCTCTAAAACGTCAAAGAAAGACTGAGGAACTGTTCCAGGTTCCAGAAGACTAAAGAGACATAACAAATGCCACGCCTCCTGGATTGGGTGGGGGAAGAGACACCATAAACGACAGTGTTGGGACAACAGGTGACAGCTGACTAGAGACTGAATGTTAGAGCCTGCAATGACAGTATTACTTAAGGTTAAATTTTCTGAATTTAATCAGCGGACTGTGGTCACATAAGGAATATCATTGTCCTGAGAAAACACATACTATAGTACTTAGAGATGAAGAGTCTTGACATCTGCAATTAACTGGCTACGAACATTTCTAAATCTCTATCTCCATCACCATCTCCACGCCTAGATGGTGAGGAATGTGATAAAGCAATCATGGTAAAATGTTAATGACTGGGGAACCTGAGTAGAGTCTACAGGAAAGTTCCGTGTACTAGTCTTACAGTGCTTTGATGTTATTTCAAAATAAAATGCTTTTAAAAATCATTAAACAGAATTCCTGTGTATATCACCGCCATCTTGACCCTTGCTAAATCTTGCTTCAGGTCAACTGACCTCAGGGTACTATGAACTGCTGTTTGCTCTGCAAGGGTTAAAGACAAGGGGATTTGGGAGGCTGGAAGCCATTCATGCAGTTTTTGGTCTTTCTACTTATTTGACCTCCACTTATTAGGGGCCATATTGTAGGTGCCAGCTTGTAGAGTCTGAAGCATTTAGCACCTGAAAGATTCAACAGAGGAAGAGGGAGACAGAGAGGTAAGAGGGAGGCAGACCTACTGACTTCTGGGTCCTTTGGAGATCATGAGAGAAGAGACCTATAAAATGTCTGTGCTAATTCTTCTTACTCAGATGAAATGTGAGGCCTAACTGGCTGTCATACTCTCAGAAATCAAGCTTGATTATTTCTCACCCTCACTTCTCATATCCACGTTAGTCAATTGACAAGTCCAGTCCACACGACCTCTGAAACAGGCCTAGAATCTGTCTGCCTCTCTCCAGCCCAGGCCACCGCTACCTGGACAACATCAACATCCTCCAATGGGTCCCAGTACATTCACCGTTGCCCCCTCTATTCTCCACACGGCCTCCATAATGATCATCATGGTCTACAAGACCTTCCATGATCTCTCTTCCACCCACCCCTCCAGCCTCACCTCCATGATTCTCCTCTTACTCTCCCTCTCACCTCCAGTCACGCTGACCCTCTGGCACCTCAAGGCATTCAACATCTGCCTCTCCCTCTTCCCCCCAACTCTGAGCATAGCGAATGCTTTATTGGCTTTCGGGTCCCAGTTAGAGCACCCCTTCCTCAGGGCCGCCTGCTCTGATGCTAAGAGTACATTAGCAATTCATGTCAAGCTCTCACAGCACTTTTGTGAATTCAGCACACAGACTATTACAGTTTCTCATTCATCACCAGACTGTGGGAACCATATCTGTCCACCTTCATCCTAGTATCCACAGTGCTTAGCAGAGAACATGGCATAGAAGCCACCCTCAGTGAATAACTGTTGAATGACGAATGAATGACAAATGAATGACATTTAAATTTCGCCTAAGAAAAGAGAAAAGAAAATGTAAAGGCTAGTAGGAAGCTTGATCTAGGCTCTCTCTGGGTCCCCCATGCTTCAAGAAAATAGTGTTAAAATAAGAGAAACGCTTGACTTTTTCACTTCTCTTCAATGCCAGAAGTTTTAGCCCAGTTACCAAAAGAGTGGTTTTGATGTGCACGACCTACTTTCTTGGTGTGAAAGACCTTCTTTTTGTCCTAAATTCACTTTTCCTCGGCTTTTAAGGGGCTCTGCCTACTTCTGGTAAATTCTATGATTATCTAATCCATATTCTTCATGGATTTATTAAACTCTAATCATATTTCTTCTCCGCTGTTTAGAGCCTGAGGAGTCCTAATTATTTCAGTCTGCCTTCATAGAGCAACCCCTGCCACTCCTCCATCATATTCGTGACTCTTCTCTGACCTTACTTGAGCTCCATTTTGCCTCTCCTACAAGATTAATGACTATGACAATAAAAAGCATTCTAGATGCCAATACATCTCATCCCAGATTCATATGAAGGCTGGCTGATAATGTCTGACTTTTTGCAAACTTTTTCTTACCCATAAAAGAAACAAGTCTCCTGGACTCATGATTAGAGTTTTCCTGAGAGACCGATGTATGTATGTATGTATTCCCTCAAAGACTGGCTAGCAGCTATTCACTAAGAAGTGGTCTGCCGGGTTCAACTATGACAGACAACAGCACCAGTCACACAGTGGTTTCTCTTACTGGGCTGCTGGGATCTTTGTTGGGGGGAGAGGGGAGAGACCCTATTCCTGCTCTGGACACCACCACTCATGCTCAGCTCCTCTGCCAGAACTCCCCTGGGCTAGCTCCTGGCAAGAGACCCGTTCAATTACCCTGGCCCAAACTATCATCAATCTTAAATACAAGATGAAATTGCAGGTGTCTGATTGCTATATATTGCCCAGTTTCAAACATTCATATGGCAATATTACTCAACATATTTTGGCCAAAAGTTCCAGAATTTCATTTTCATGTTTTTTTTAAACTCCAGAGTGTAAAAACTTTGCAGCCAAGCCCAATAATATCTACATCATCTGCTCATTTATTCTAGGCCACCTACGACATGTCTGACATAAAAGGCAATTTAACAGTGACCTTCTACTCCACTCTCGCCTTTATCTCCTCTCTCTCTGTTCCCCCAAGTGACGCCATCTCTACCCCAGAGTTCCAATCATGCAGATGGTAAAGGCACGTAACATGACATCTCTCCTCTCCCCCAATCGCCTTCCGGAATTTCAGGCTCCATATTTCAACTGTTCTGAAAAAACCCAAACTAAACCAAAATCCAAATAAAACAAAAGCGCCTCCCCCGCCCCCGCCCCCCGCAAACCACAGTCTATAAGAATGAGACATTTTGGAACATAAAAAGCATAAAGGTTAGACTGACAATTATTCTAAGGCAGCATCTTTAAAATAAGTCACAGACTCTTGGAGTATTTATTTGAAATAAATAAATCCTACGGTTAACAGGGGTAGTGTCAGATTCAAGCCATAAAATAAGACTCTTAAAACTATGCTGCTTCAAATGGGGGAAGAATGTTCATGTTTTTGGAGTCAGTTCCCAAAAACTGTACAGAGTTTCCACTTGGTTTTCATTTTAAAACTTAATGAAGCTTTGGATCTCATAGTCAATTTACTTAAAATTACTCATTTTGGCCTCTAGACTATACTGTACCAAAGTTTATTGTGTCTGTCTCCTACAGCAGCTCGTGCATTGTTAAGGGTAAGCCCCTTTCACTGGTGTACAATGCTAAACACAATGCCGTCGGCCGTCCTGACAGCAAGCGGCAAACTCAGGCTTCATTCCCAGGCCAGACACTGAGGCATTGTATGACTCCGTGCAGGCCCATAAACCTCGGCGGCTCCGGTCTCCCCATGATTAACCAGTAACGTTTTAACACTATCAGCCACTTCCTTTCTTTAGGAGGACATTATGAGGCATCAGTTCAGTGCATTATGCTATGAGAATACAGGTAAATAAGTGCCCATCTTCCTAAGCATCTTAGGTGATTGGGCGAGGGCCTGACAGCCCACCATACAGCCCAGACTGTGGTACTTCCCTTCCATCGGCCCACAGCAGTCACCACATGCTCCAACCCATCCCAGTCCAACCCAAGACACTAAAGACACACAACCCTTACCCTTCACTTGCAGCAGGCAATAGAGAACAGGGTAACTATGGCGGGTGGGGGGCAGGGGAAGATGGCATCAGACAACCAAGGTCACAGCCTCTGTTGCCTAGATTGCTTTAGTTCACAGGTCTTTTCACATAGGGTCCGTTATGACTTGTTCCTTTCCAAAAGAACCCAGTGTCTCTCTCTTATCATGTCAGGATGCAGGATGTTACCCCCCAGCATGCATCCACAAGCTTCTACCAACACTGTATGTGAGGAAACAGTGTGTCAATATCTTGAGAGAGGGCCAAGACCGGAATCACCAGTAGTAACTCTGTGTCGTAGACTTTGGACAAATTGTATAACCTTTAGCTAAAAGGTGGATTAGCCAAAAAGCCTAAGCAAAACCTTAGGAATATTTGCTTGAAGGAGGATGATCACATGTATCAGGAAAAAAAAAAATAAGCAAAAGATTAAGTTGCCAAGTATTTCAGTCTGGTGTTCTAGCACCAAGGCAGCAAGATTATCTTAAAATGTCCCCATTTCTGTTGGGGACAGCACCAGACATCGGTAGGTCTGTCGAGCACTGTATACACAGCAGGACTCAGTGAATAACTACTCAACAAATTGACGCTGTAAAGCACTAATGAAGCACTTGACTGTATATTGCACTTCCCTCTACATCTCCACCTTAATGATGCCAGCCACCCTCCAGATCACTCTCTAGTCCCTCAAACAGTCTGAGCACTTCGTGTTTCTGTCCCACCCGGGTCCTGTGCACTCAAAAGGAAATCTCCCCTCTTTTCTACTTGGCAAATTCCCATTCAAAGTTCTGCTCAGATGGCACCTCCTCCGGAAAGTCTCCCATTCCCCTGGCGAGAACTATTCCTTTCTTCCACTCTTTGGTCCTTTAACACACTTCTAGCACTGCAGTATTATGCCACGTGTATTTTTTACTGACTGTAAGAATTATTAGATGACAGAATTATGCACACTGACCCAAAAACATATTCATCCTTGGTCTGATTGTTGGTTCAAAAAGTTTAATTTTACAGCTACCAAGGGTGGCCAGGCACCAAAGAAGAGGAGCAAAGCTGTCATACAATTCACCATTCTAGACAGAGTCCTGCTCGAAATCTTCCCCCTCTGGCACTGTCCCCTGCATTGCCCGCATCTCCTACCATTCCGTCTCGCTAAATCTCTAGCCTTTGGGGACATGGCATTTGTTTCAATTGATGCTCTGTTTTTCATCATGAATACATGATTTTATTCTGTGCATGATTTCAATTTGATTGAGGCTCTGTAGAGTTGCTGGAAAATTTTCTTCAGTCAGTTTCGGGGCTTCCCACAGCTATACAGTCACTGCCGGAGCCCCACACTACCTCCTCCTTATTTAAATACGGGTCTTGCCAAACAAAAACTGGAGTTTTCCTATGGCGGATGACCAGGTCTTTCCTTGGAGTCCTCAGGTGAGGCCTGGCACTGTGCTCAATAAATACTTGTCAGATTAACAAAAAAAGTTAGCTGGTACCTAAAAGCAAGAGAAGTCACCCATGACTTGAAGTGGATATATTTCTTAGGTGGTTTGGTTTCCAAACCAAAAACAGGCACCTATATATTCTGAACCTCACCAACTCTCACAATGACAAAAGGAAGTCAATTTCTAGAATGTTTTCTAACACTAAACATGTTCACTGAATAAAACATTAAGAAACATATTAATATCCAAAACTACAAGATTTAAAATATTTTCCGGGCTTCCCTGGTGGTGCAGTGGTTCAGAGTCCGCCTGCCGATGCAGGGGACACGGGTTCGTGCCCCGGTCCGCGAGGATCCCACATGCCGCGGAGCAGCTGGGCCCGTGAGCAATGGCCGCTGAGCCTGCGCGTCCGGAGCCTGTGCTCCGCAACGGGAGAGGCCACAACGGTGAGAGGCCGGCGTAAAGCAAAAATATATATATATATATATATATTTTCTAAGTCTATAATAGTCAAATATGGGTCTGTCTTTTGAAAATACAACCAAACATGTTTATAGGGCTTGTAAGAGCTGCTTAAGCTCTGGAAAAGACACAAGAATCGTGTCCTAATAACACAAAAACAAAACCTAAGACAGTCAGTACTATTAAGCACAAGATATAAATGATTTGTGTGTGTTAATTCACTTATAAGAACAACCCAATGAGAAAAGCATCGATACTTTGCACTTCCCATTTTAAGACTGGGAAATTGAGGCCCAAAGAAGTTAAACTTGTTAAGTGGAACCAGGATTTGAACCCTGGCAGTCTGGCTCCAGAGCAATTTTCTGAGTGATGGGAATGAAATGCCTCTAACATCTGAGAGTGTGTCATGTAAAGGCGACGTTCGGGGCATTCTTTGTAGAGGGCAATGTACAGATACGAAAATATGCCAGAGTTTGTAAGGTA